CCCTCTTCTTTTAACAACACTGTAAATGTCTAGGAAATGATGAGACCAGTTGCTGGAGTTTTGGGAGAGGAATGTTGTCCCATTCTTGCCTGAGCCCATGTTGCTCTACAACCTGGATATATCTTTCAGCATTGATAGTGCCTTTCCAGATGTGCAAGCCACTTATTCCTTACACACTAATGCACCCCCGTACCATCAGAGATGCAGGCTTTTGAACTGAGCGCTGATAACAAGCCAGAAGGTCCCTCTCCTCTTTAGTCCGGAGGACGCGGTGCCCATGGTTGTCAAAAGGAATGGCGAATTTCGATTTGTCTGTCCACAGAACAGTTTTCCACTTGTAACAGGCCATTTTAAATGAGCTTTGGCCCAGAGAAGATGGCAGGGTATCCGGATCATATTCAGATATGACTTCTTCTTTGCGTTAGTTTTAACTTGCATTTTTGGATGGCACGGCAAACTGTGTTCACAGACAGTGATTTTTGGAAGTATTCCTGAACCCATGCAGTGATGTCCATCACAGAATCATGCCTGTGTTTATTCAGTGCCATCTGAGGTTCTGAACATCACGGGTATCCAATATTGCATTTCAGCTCTGTCCCTTGCACACAGATTTCTCCAGAATCTTTTGATATTTTGTACTGTAGATGATGATATATTTAAAGTTTTTGAAATATTACGTTGAACATTATTCTGCAATTGTTCAACAATTTTAGGACACAGCTTTTAGCAGATTGGTGAACTTCTGCTCATCTTTACTTCTGAGACACCCTGACTCTCTAAGATGCTCTTTCTGTACCCAATCATGGTACTGACCTGTTTCCAATTAACCTAATTAGTTGCAAAATGTTCTACCTCTTCCTTGTTCTCCCCCCCAGCCCTCATACGATTCAGGACTGTGCACATCTCCAGCTCTTCTCTCCCTTTAGTTCTGGGTCTCTCAGGCTTTGCTGAGGCACTGGGAACCATTGGCTATTGCTGTTGTCAATCAAAGTCAGTGATGAGTGAGCGGGGGGTGGGGCTGAGTCCTGCTGTCTGTGTCAATGGATGCAAACAGCAGGGCTCAGGAGTGAGCATACACAAGTGCCCCTAAAGGAAGGAACTGGAGAGAGAAGAGGAGCCAGCAGTGCCCACAGGGGAACTGAGAAAAGGAGGTTCAAGACCACTTTGTGTAATTCCAGGTAAATATGAGTCTGTTTGTTGGTTAAAAAAAATTACGTTTACAAATCACTTTAAAGTGGTTGCAAAGGCTCAAGGTTTTTTTACCTTCAGGCATTCTTTGCCTGAAGGTAAAAAACCTTCTCTGTGCAGCATCCCCTCCTGCCCCCACTAATACTCACCTAAGCCCCCTCTCAATCTAGTAGCGATGTGTACTGGAGTCTGGGCTATCCCAGGGCTCCCTCTCCTCACTGACTAAGACAGCGGCATGAGCCATTGGCTCCAGCTGATGTCAATTGCAGCCAGTGAGAAGAGACACGGGGGGGGGGGGGGGACTGACTGACCTGTGGCCCTGTGTGTGAATGGACACATGGAGCAGCGGCTGGGAAGTGCACATGCTCGGGTGCCCCTATAGCCAGCTGCTTGCTGTGGGGGCACTCAACAGGAGGGAAGGGGCAGGAGCACCGGCGGGGGACCAGAGAAGAGGAGGATCCAGGCTGCTCTGTGCAAAACCACTGCACACAGCAGGTAAGTATAGACAAGTTTTTTATTTTCTTTTTTTAAAATGTAAGCCTTTAGAATCACTTTAATGGCTCATTCACAACAGCCATGCTAATCCAATGCAAGGACAGCACAACGTATGTTAATAACACAGTTTGTTACAGTGCAGCACAATTTACAGTAAGTGCTCATGCACACGGACGTAGAACAAGCTGTGTTCTGATCTGAAATTTCTAAAAATCTGAACGAAGCAGTATTGCTTTGGACCCGTTTACATACTTTGCATGATTTAGTCCAAAGTGTATAGCTGCGTAAGGCAAAACTGGAAAATTTGTTTACAGTCCACTTTTGACCATAAAACACGCTGTACATATCTAAACGTGTGCACTAACATTTCAAGTATACAGTGTATAGCATAAATGGACCCTATGCAATGCCAGCATTGCCTAGTAAATGTGGGGTCTAAGTTTAAAACACCAACGTGTAGGCAGTGGCAGCAGTGCAGATGCAGAATGACTGAAAGTTGAGGCACCTCTACCACTGAATATACACTGCTGACGTTTGCATCTGCCCCTGGATTAGGCATATATGTAGCAGCAGTGGGTGCGCAGAATGAACTTGGCTTTCAGTCTTTCAGAAAGATTTACTGGAGGGAGTTGCACTCAAGAGAGACTGCCCACAGCTGCTCCTTGTTCAGGTGTCAGCTATCAACAAAAAATTTCTCTGGAGTGTGAAGTCTTGAATAAGTGCTGATAGAGAGCGAAACGCATCAACCTTTCCTCTATCCCCACCAGGGGCGGACTGACCATTTGGAAACTCGGGCACTGCCCAAGGGCCCAGGGTCAGTAGGGGGCCCCATGAGATGCCCCTGGTAATTTTTCATAGGCTTTTTTGAGTTTGGGCAAGGACACAGGGGCCCCATGATCCCCTATTGCCCAGGGGGCCCCATGAGTTGTCAGTCCGCCCCTGATCCCCACAGTGTCTTTTTGCTGAATGATGGTGCTTTTTTTATATTCAATAAACATGGATGATTTTTCGGAGTGAAGATGTCCAGATTCTTTTGACTCTTCACCAAAATCTGAGGTTGTTATGCGCCACTGCCACCACACAGATTACATACTACACATCTCAACTCATATGGACGTATGCAGATGTGTGTCCATATAAGTTCAGACAAAAGTAAAGACAACTCTTTACGCATCCTTCATAAATCAATAGGGCCATATGCATGAGGCCAAAAAACGCATATGCAATGTAAAGCCTGGTTCACAATATCGTGGGTGTCTGCAGGATGCAGGAACTGCAGTGAATCCTGCAACCGCAACCACCCGCAGTTAAAACGCACGGGGCTTCCATCCATTCTTTATGGCAACCCCACGCATCTCAAACTGCAGCACATCTGCAGCCACATTTTGAAAAAAGTTCCATGCACCTTTTTTTGTGTGGTAAACGAAGGCACGGCAGCCCATTCAAAGCTAGCAGATGAAAAAATAGTTATTCACACACTGAGGTGTAGTACTCTGATCAATAAACTGGATACAGGTTGCCATTCATTCAGCATCAGGGTGATGTCCTGCTTCTGGAATGTTTCCAAATATGGTTTGAATTGTAAATACCGATATATGTTAGATCATCTGCATGAAGTCATCTGTATTAATCTACAAATGGAGAGGAATTAGTTCTACTTCAACTAGTGAAATTAGCAGACGTCGTCTCTTTGTTTAAAGAAGCATAAAGAGAAGTAATTACACTTTGCTAGTGAGTCTTGCTGATGGATCATTGAAAGATGTCATAGGACTATTGCATGAGAGGTCGACAGTCCGCAACATAGCTCTGATCAGGGCTGAACTGACAGAACTGCATTGATGCTGAAGAGTTTCTGTACCCAATCTGCAGTAATCGCCATCATTTTCCACTGTAACTAATTTGAAGAAATTACACGATTTTTTAATGTGTGCATATGTTATGATGAGCAGCATGACAAAAGGCCTTAACGGACTCTCCCTAAATCATTTAGCAGTGGTATCAGGGTAGCCTGGTGTGACGTCTCCAACAACAAAACAGAGCAGACAGGCTCTTTATTTCAGAAGAGACACACAATGTGCAGTTCAGATTACATTCCAGCACAGATCCTGTCTGCCAGGGTAACTGAACTCCTGCGCATGAGCAGGTGTGACGTCATCCTGCGCTAGTCATTAAAGATGGCCCAGGGATGTGGTAATTTTGGAAAAAAACTACTTGTCCAGGGACTAAATCGGTGTCCCAATCTACTCGTCCTGATAAAAAAAAAAATCAATTTTAACCAAAACCGTATTTAAATTGAGGTGCTGTTCGGAATGTCTGGGACTTTCAAAATCAAAAAGGGGCTTTACGGCCATTTAAATGTTTAATTTTTTTTTAACAGTGCACTGTTTATCTCCTCCTCGCCTGTCTCCAGCACCGCACCCGGAGACTAGCACGGAGCAGGGAGGGAAGAGACCTTGCAGTGTAATGAGCACTGATTGGGTGCTTGTCAGGAAAGGGGAGTGTCGGGCTTGTCCTTTATCCCTTTTGCTGCCAGAGCCGTTTTTGCACACGTTTAAAAAAAAATCATTGTAGGCCTGAAGATTACATAAAAACCCCCAAACATTAATTTCCTAGAGAATAAAATAGCGGTAGTTCCAATTTTTTATGTCGCATGATAGTACCGCGCAAAATTTCAGTAAAAAATACACAAAATGAAGTTTAGGGCACAAAAAAAGCAATAAATCACCTTATTTTTTGGTAAAATATAAAAGATGAGGTTCCACCAAGTAAATAGATATCCAACATGTCAAACCTTAAATTTGCACGCGCTCGTGAAATCGCGACAAACTTCAGTACCCTATATTTTTTATAGGCGACTCTTTTAAAGACCCTTATAGAGGTCATCAGTTCAGCATTACGGAGGAGATCTGGTGCTAGAATTATTGCTTTCATTCTGTCGTACGCAGCGATATGTAACATGTGTATCGCAATCGTCGTTTTCATGCGTAGGCGCCCACTTTTACTATTGTACATGCGTATATGTGGGGGCTCAAATTTTTTTTTTTAGGGGAGGTTATGTGCTTGGGAGCAAATTCCAGCTTTCAGTGCTGTCACACTTTGAATGACAATTACGCAGTCATGCAACACTGTACCCATATGAAATTTTTATCATTTTTTTGTGACAGATAAAGATTTATTTTGGTGGTATTTAATAACCTCTAGGTTTTTTATTTTTTTTTTAAACAAACCAAAAGCCACTGAAAATTTGGAAAAAAAAAAAGTTTTTTCTTAGTTTTTGTTATAAAATTTTGTAAATAAGTGATTTTTCTCCTTCATTGATGTGCGCTAATGAGGCTGTAGTGATGGGCACTGATAGGCTGCACTGATGAGGAGGCACTGGTAGGTGGCACTGATGGGCATTGACAGGCATCACTGATGGGCACTGATAGGCAGCACTGATGCACACGGATAGGTGGCACTGACTGGCATTGATAGGTGGCACTGAAAGGCAGCTCAGATGGGCACTGATATGTGGCATTGATGTGGCACTGAAATGTGGCACTGATAGGTGGCATGGATGAGCACTGACAGCTGGCACTGATTGACACTGACAGGTGGCACTGCTGGGGCTACACAGATCATCAGGGCACACTGATCATCAGTGTACATGTCCCCCCTCCGAGGAATGCCGATTACCGGCTCTCCTCTCCTCACGAGCTGTCCCTGTGTACATGTGATCAGCAGTGATTGGACACAGCTGATCACATGACCGAGCCGACATCTTCAGCTCTTTTCCGTTGATCGGTGATCCGCTGTGTCCAAGGGACACAGCGCACCGCTGATCGCCGCACTGTGTGCTCCCGGAGCCACGCATGCGCGGTTAGAATGGGAGGACGTCATATGACATCCTCCCAGAACAAGAGAACCGCCTTGCGCCAGTCATTGTACTATATGGTGGGCGGGAGGCGGTTAAAAAACAATTTTTTCTACTTAACTTGATGATTTTTTTGAGGGGACAGGTTCTCTTTAATGAGACATCCAGGGTCTAAAAGACCCCACGTCTCCCCTGTGCTCCCCTGAATGTAATGCAGTCCACATCGCACTGCATTACATTCTTTCCCGGCCCCAATGGGCGGGAACCTGTGAATGGAGACCTGGAAGTGACACCAAACGTCACTTCCGGGTCAGGACAAGAAGGGGTGGGGAGCGGACGTGTTTGCTCTCCTCCCTCCCCTCTGGATGCTGGTGTACACTGAGCCAGTCATGGGCCCGCAGATGGGCAAGCAGAGCCCTGGACACTTGGCGAGTGGGGAGGGCAGAGCACTGCTGCCCTAATGCTTCCTCCTGACAGGTGAGCCCTGCTGCTTGCCCGCAGCAGGGCTACAGGTTGAAAAAAGCTACCTGCCTAACGCCCAGAACTACATATCCCGGGCATCGGGCAATACAAATTCAACATCCCTGCTGGCCGCTGACTGGCACCGACAGAAACAGGTAGAAAATGTGGGTGCCAGTGAGGAACCTCGGACCACTGAAAGAGAGGTGAGTAATACGGATTATAGTTCTGCTTTCAGATTCTATTATGAAAGGTGGCATAAGGCACCTTTCACACAAAGGGTTCAGTCAGGTACATCTGTCAGTTTTTCAGGTGGACCTGATTGGACAGTCCATTCTCCTCTATGGATCAGCAGGTGTAAACAGACTTGTGTTCATTTACACCAGCTTCCCTCTGGGTCCAAACTGGTACACAAAAAAAAAAAACAGAAGGGGATCTTCTGTCTAGGCAGATCAGATTGGAGGGAAGTCAGATGTAAACGGATAGCGTAGTCCGTTTACTACCAGCTACCTATAGAGCAGAGTGGGCTTTGTCCATGTCCTCTCTGCATAAACCATGCAGATTCGGACCTGTCATCCACCCGCTCTGCTCTGATCAGTGGACAGATCCCCTGCTGATTAAAACGGAGTCTACCCCGTGTTAAAGGGGCCTAAGAGAGTTGATCATTGACTTTCTGAAAAATCCCTGCTCTGACCCCAAGAACCTTGTTATAAAAGAATGAACTCATCACAAAGTTGAATGGCAGGAAGACATAAAGGACACAAATTAAAGCTAAATTCCAGGATAAACAAGTATGGAAAAATATTCACCATCTGTATTCTTCCTTGGATCTTGGTCTGCTTTTTGTATTTCTTCCAGATGTGTACAGTAATCCAGTGTGAAACTTTACTTCTGTGCAGGAGCTTTCCATTATAAAGACCGGTCACTGCTGCTCTCTCTCCTTGTGCAGGGTGACTTGGTCTTGTCTCTACCACTCTCTCCTGTAGTTTTCTGCAGGAATATTCCAGTAGGTGGTGTCTGCTGGGCCCCTCCCACAGCTCTGCTTAATGCACAGGCTATGTACAGCACAGTGATGATGTCACACTACATTTACAAGGTAATATCTGGGTTTACAAAGTCATTTGGTGCACACAAAGTTGTATTTGTAATCCTTTGGAGATATTGCGGAATAATTGTATATTTAAATGACAGTGTTTGTGCCTGGAGTTGATCTTTATAGTGACACTAAACTCTGCTTTAAAAAAAGAAAATTCTATTCAAGTATGTATTCTAAACTCAGAAAAGTTTCTTTTATTGCTCTCAGCCTCCTGTTTTTTTGCTCCTGTGATCTGGCTTCCTGTTAGATAGTGGCTATGTTCATTCTCCATGGCCCCACTGTTATACAGGAATGCAGCCACCCTCTCTTGATCGTACCTGAAATTGACTATGGGATTTGTACTGTGCATAGAGTAGTGCACATGACCCCAACGAACGTGTACTGCTTGTTCCAAACAAATGGAAGTGAGGACAGGGAGAAAAAAAAAAAATAAACAATTTCATGAAAAATAGATTACAGGGCCAATAAAGCAGAACTACACTGAATCTTACCTAAACCACTATTCAATTCATTTTTAATATTCAAAGCAAACTCGTCTATCCATTCAAGTCTCCATGCTTTATTTTACTGAGAAATCACTTTGAAAAACACCCCCTAGCATTTCTAGCTGTGGCAATCTTGAGAAAGTAGCTTTAATTTCATGGAATCTATCTGCCCTCAGCTCAGACATGCAGGCAGGAGGGTGTGCTTAGAAGAGAAAACCCCTCCTCCCCTCCTGAAGACTCCTGGGATGTATGACATCATTTGCCTAGGCCTGGAAACCAAGAAGTAACTGAAGAAATGTAAATAAGTTTTAAACAATTTTAATTGTTGGGTGAGCGGAAACCAGTGGAGGAACTGGCAGAGAGGGGTGGCAGACACTGAGTGCTTGACAAGGCAGATGAGTGTGGCAGCAGCATTCTTGATGGACCAAGGAGAGATAGCCTATGTAGAGGTAGGCTGAGGAGGGAGTTGTAATTGTCAAGTCAAGAGATAACCATGATACGAATTTGATTCTTTGTGGTATAGTTGGTTAAGCAGAGAAGTATTTTAGAGATGTTACAGAGGTTGAGGCAGCAAGATCTGGACATTGATTGGATGTGGGGTTAAAGGAAGGTTCGGAGTCTTTCACCCAACACTCTGGCATGACGGGAAGGACTGATAGTTGTGCCACTGATCTCGATGGAGGGGGCACCATAGGAAGGAAATATTATGAGTTTGGTTTTGGAAATATTGAGTTTGAGGAATGGTGTGACATCCATACTGATATGCCTGTTAGTAATTAGTGATGCACAAGGAGACTGATGGTGTGAGTGAAGGGGTAGATATCCTTTAAGCCTCTGTTCACACCAATGACATTTGCTATGTGTCTGTCGTTGTTCTACTATGACCAACTACAACTACTAACAATAGAAATGACAGTATTCTCTATGGTGTCCATTCACATTAATGCAATATGGTGCAGTGTGATTTTTTGATGCACGCGATTCTTTTGGTGCTATGCAGTATATATTTGGCCCCACAGATTGCAATGGGAGCACATGAAAATGTTAAGATATCTTGCGAGCCAAATCAGAAAACCACCCTACCGCACAAGACTGGACAAAATATGTCCTTAATATAATAGGATCGCAGACACCTAACACATAACTACCACTGTGTATAATTTATATCATCCTATTGTGTTGCGCTCCTTAAAAATTACATATGATCACTTATCCATGCCCAATACATATCACCATATATAGACAAGTGAAAAAAATAAACATACATTAAATCCTTTAACCAAAATTCATGTATAATAATCACTTAATTTACTTAAAAAACAAAATAATTCATACTATTAATATATATCCGTGATTATAAAATTGCTAAATCAATAATACATCATTTTTAGTGAAAAAAATATAAATCTCAAATAAAATTATTTTAAATAAATATACATATATACTTAATTAATATTGTGTGAAAACAGTGTCCCCATATAACATAAAAATAGTGACTTAGTGCTTTAATTAATCTTCAATCCGTGATTGCATGTGAATCCATGACTGTTTGTGAATCCTCCCATTAGTGCAGATGTAAGCTCACCTCCTTATCTGCCTATAATTAGGCTATATGCGCTTTTGGTTCTCCTCCTATGGAACCTGCTTCCTTTTTAGATAGTGGATATCCTTTATCACTGATTTTCCCCTCTGGGATTGATCCCTCCTCACGAGGGCACAAGTCCTCTATACTCTCCTCTCCATACGTCTCTCCACATATAGGGAAAAAATTCTAAACATAGTGTTTTATCCTTTTTAAAATATAGCTTTATTATCTCCAAGTAATACACTCACATGTGTTGTATTCAATATAAGGCATATCAAATGTAAACCGAATCCTTCGCTGACTGTTTGAAGCATGTACCCGCCGTCTGGCAAACAATCTGACTCCCTCTGAGTGACGTTGCAGTCCCACCCCTACGCGTTACGCCACTGGTCACGTGGCTTCATCAGGGGGTTTTGATAGGTCTGTCACTCTCCCATTTCCGGCATATATAGCTCGGCTTCGCCATTTTGTTGACTATCTACAGGGGGCAGCCATGTTTCTGGGGGCAATTCCATTATATTAACACTCTCTCCCTTTGATACATTTGTTGCTTATACTGCATTACTCCTCCCGGAGGGATACACTGTAACATGATTCCGCGGTCAGCGTGGATTCAAACAATCTCCCTATATACACATCAGCCAATTTTAATACTTAAAAACATAAGATTATACTAACCATCACATATACAGAATGTACAAATCTATATATATATAAATGAATACATCTGTATTTTTAAAATTGCCAATGAAAAGCATATACATATACGTGTTTTTTGCATGCTTTTGGTACAGTTTTGTGGTTAACATCATCAAGTCTCTCCCTTCTAGCAGCAATGATGTCACAGTATATATTGTTAGTCACTGGCCAATACAAAAAGCATCAAAATGAGCATAACCACTCTACAAAAAACATACTGAAAAGGAGCATGAATATGCCAAAAAAACCAAAACAAAAAAAAAACACGGAGTTGGGCTTAGAAGAAAATTACCCACAGCTATTCTAGTTTTTCTTTAAAATAAACCCCCAAGACTGCTGTCTGTACACGAGATGGTAAACTGCCATAAACAATAATTTACCATGAAGGTCTACTTGTAATAAAACTGCTAGTAGTAGCTCGGCTGAGGGAGTGACGAATGAAAGAGGGTGAAGGGTGACATTCAAGCCTTTGTGTGTGCCCTTTCTGGTCAATAAACAAGGCTGCAACCTCTCAGGGGTAAAATAAGCAGTCATTCATTCTTCTGCTTTATAG